TAAAAATTATATATATTTATAGAAATTTTAATTTATATAAGAGAATATAATATATAATGTGTAATTTATCCTATTTTTTATTTATAAATTTTAAAAAACTATTAAGTAAAATAATAACAATGACACCTATCAAATTATCCAACTTTGACATATATATACATTTGATTTACAGATATATAATCTGGCTAAGATTTTGGTATTATTTTCTGTTTTCCATAGAATTTCTATAGTTCTTGTTTTTTTTAAGGTTTATGTGTTGAAATATTTAGTTTTTTTATTGAAAGTCTTATTGATGTTGTGTATCACTGTATATATATAATCCATGATTCATGTTGATTCACATTTAATTTTGTTAGAAAGTTTTAATGATCATGCAAAACTATTTTTTTCTTCTCCATCATGTCTTCCAAGAGTTTTATGTTATATTTTTATTCAGTTTTCATTGTTTTAATTGTTAAATCGAGTTGTTGTAGATTTTTTTTAAAATTGATAATTGATAATGGTTATTTTTTTTATACATGTATTGATAATTAATAATTTTTTTATTTAATTTTTTGATTTTTAAACCATATTAACATTTTCTGATTTACTAAATATGTTGATTTGGATCAATCAGATTATATTTACTTTTTTTGTTAGACATAATTTGTTAAATTAACTTTTAATGTTTTAATTATACTTAATAATTTTTGGTTTGATTTAAAAGCTGATGTGGACCAATTAAATCAAGTTTTTCCGTCCTAATCATACTTAATATTTTTTATTTAATAAATATGCTGATGTGGACCAATCATATCGAGTTTTTTAATTCCATGTGGACGCCCTCAGTGCATTATGCCATCAATTTTTGTATATTATACTAGTAATCAGATTGAGCTATATAACTCGCGCTACGCGCAAGTCTGTATTAATATTTTGGTTTAATTTTTTTAGCTATTATCTTTAAAATTATTAAAATATTATATATTTATAGAAATTTTATTTATATAAGAGAATTTAATATATATTATGTAATTTATCCTATTTTTATTTATAAATTTTAAAAAACTATTAAGCAAAATAATAACAATGACAGTTGTCGGATTATCCAACTTTGACGTACATATATATTTGATTTAGAGAAATATAATATTGCTAAGATTTTGGTATTATTTTCTGTTTTCCATAGAATTTCTATAGTTCTTTTTTTCTTGAAGGTTTATGCATTCAAATATTTAGTTTTTTATTGAAAGTCTTATTGATGTTGTGTACCACTGCATATATATTCAATGATTCATGTTGATTCAGATTTATTTTTGTTATGAAGTTATTATGATCATGCAAAACCATTTTTTTTCCTTCTCCATCATGTCTTCCAAGAGTTTTATGTTATATTTTTATTCAGTTTTCATTTTTTTAATTGTTAAGTCGAGTTGTTGTAGATTTTTTTAAATTGATAATTGATAATGGTTACTTTTTTTATACATGTATTGTTAATTGTTAATTTTTTATTTAACTTTTAAATTTTTAAACCATATTAACATTTTTTTATTTAATAAATATGTTGATTTGGATCAATCAAATTGAATTTACTTTTTTTGTTCGACATAATTTGTTAAATTAACTTTTAATGTTTTAATTAAACTTAATCATTTTTTGTTTGATTTAAAAGCTGATGTGGACCAATTAAATCAAGTTTTTCTGTCCTAATCATACTTAACATTTTTTTATTTAATGAATATGCTGATGTGGACCAATCAGATTGGGTTTTTTAATCCCATGTGGACGTCCTCAATGCACTATGCCTTCAACTTTTATATATTATATGATGATTGATAATTGATAATGGTTATTTTTTTATACATGTATTGTTAAATGTTAATTTTTTTATTTAAATTTTAAATTTTTAAACCATATTAACATTTTCTGATTTAATAAATATGTTGATTTGGATCAATCAGATTGAATTTACTTTTTTGTTGGACATAATTTGTTAAATTAAGTTTTAATATTTTAATTATATTTAATAATTTTTGGTTTGATTTAAAAGCTGATATGAACCAATTAAATCAAGTTTTTCTGTCCTAATCATACTTAACATTTTTTTATTTAATGAATATGCTGATGTGTACCAATCATATCGAGTTTTTTAATCCTATGTGGACGCCTTTAGTGCACTATGTCATCAACTTTTATAAATTATATGATGATATGTTTTTTTAGTTGTCTGAAATATTAGACAATTGCAAGGATAATTTAACGGATAATTTATCTACCGTTCTGAAAATTTTCTTTATCTGCTTTGCTTCCAATATAATCTATAAAAATTGCATCTTCTGGGAATTGAAACCCAAGATCTTCTGATATAGAAGCATTAATGAATCGTTTAATCAACCATTTAACTATAGAATTTCCACTGTATATGCGTTTAAATATATTTTTTTGTTTTAGAACTTTTACTTTTGTTTTAGTTATTATATATCAAATACTTTTAAATTTTAGATTTGGACTCCAATACAAAACTACAGAAACTGACATTTTCGTTTTCTTTTTTTAAACTTAATATTCCTTATATATTCTGAAGCAGCCTTGCCCGAAACCATTGAAATTCTGCAACGAATGTTCGCAATACAAAAAGGTAACATGCAACGAAAAAGAAAAATCCTTTAATGAATACAACAAACACGAAAAAATTTGATTTGTTTAATTTTCAATCCTATCCATTATATAATTGTTTTTTGAATATAAGAGTTTATTAATCTCAAATCATTGTCATAATAGTTCCTTCAAATAATTTGATTTTATTGCTTTCATATTTTTAAAAATTTGATATATCATATTTTCATGTGAATGATTTATATTTTTACTAGATCTTTGTTAGAGATGGGTTTAACATTTTCTATTAAATCCTTTTATAATTTAATTTGAGCTCATTAATAAAAGCTTACTAGTTAACTAAGTAAATTGGACCAAAAAATAAAATATTTAGAGATATATTAAAATTTTGAGAAAAATAAAAAGATAAAAGAAAAGGATGGAAAACAAAAGAAAGCTTAGTATCTATTTTTTTTTTGGAAGTATAAATAGAGATCCACTCTCAATGTTTGAAAAATCCACAACTTTGTTATCGCAGTCTAAAGTAATTTTAGCTTTTAACTTTTTAGGTTTTAACTCTCAAAATTCTTGCCTAGTAATTAGGTTGGTGTTTTTATTCTAACGATCTATTTTTCTATAATTTTTCAAATGTCGACTATAATTAATAAAAAATTACATGTTAAATTCACAAGTTTTTGTTATTTTTTTAGTGATTCTTGAGCTTGGTGCAAGATATGAAGATGCTCTCTCCAAATAGTTTAAGTGTCGTAGCTAACTTATATTTAAATAAGTTTAGTTTTTTTTTGGAATCTTAAACTCTAAGTTGCACTTAATGTAAAACAGTTTTTTTCTTTTTTAGTTTGAATAATTTACATTCACTGAAAAAAAATATTGAAACTAAAAACCCTAAATTAAAAATAATCATCACTGATTAATTTCTACTATTTATAATTATATATGATTTTATCTTTCAAAAGACAATGATATATGTAGTTTTTTTACACTGATTTCTATCTTCTATATACGTGTGTTTTGTGTCAAATATACGTTTATACATGACGGAAATTTGATAATACAAAATTTATTCTATTTATCAATCATTTGTTCGTTGCAATAAAATAAAATAACGTCAATCATTTGTTTTTGTGTGTCAACAATAAAATCAATCATTGATTTAGTGATATGTTATTTGTGAAGATACCGGTTTGAGGGACAACGACTATGATCCACTGCGGAAGGAATGTTCTAAGCTGGTCCTCTTAGTATTTGCCACGTAGCTTAACCCGGATGGTCTCTGGATATCAATAGGTTTAAGCGGGAGAAGAAGAACACGACACCCAATCAACACTACACATGGCAGGCTGATGAACTAACGTCCTTGAGTTTTTTGTTTTGGTAAAAAAAACCAATAATAAATATGGAAAACCGATGATTGAATTAGAATTAAGAATAATACCACAAAATAGCGTAAGACTGATAGTCAATTAAGTAATCGATATATTCAATTTCTGTGTTTAAATATGAAACTAATTTGCCACTCATTCTTTCGTTTTTGCCCTCACTCGCTCTTCGATGAGAATAATTTTTTTTAAAAAAAAATACGAAATACGTGTTCACAAATTCAGACGAATAGATGTTACGACCACTAACAATATTTGTTCTTCGCTTTAATTAAAATAGTTGTAACTTTTTAATTATGTTAGACATAGAGGGTTATATTAATATCACACATTTTGCTCTCACGGTAACTCATAACACCCCTTGCCGCTTGATGTTCCCTATTCCGATACTCCCAAAGCCAAATCCATTCGAGAGACGAAACAGAGCCACAGGCGAACTCAGCCGACCACCATTACACAGTAGCTTCCGAGACGACGGTAGGTGACTATTCAGGTAAAACCCAACCTCTTTCCAAATGCGAGGCTATCTGGATTCGAATTTGAGTTTTTCCCCTTTTCTTAACACTGTCTCACGCCGCTAGGGTTTTTTTTTGGATGTCTCTGAAATTGCTAGCGATCAACTCCTTGCATGATGTTTTCTTTACTGTTTTTATCCTTCGACATATAGTACGGACCGAACTAGAAGTTCGAGTTTAGTGATTTTTAAATTTTTCTGCAAAATAGTCAGATTCATTTTTCTAAACCTTCATCCTAAGAAATAGGCACCCAGATATAGTTACGCATGTTTATGAATTCACTCGTCTTTAAGATTTAGAAGCACAATCCATATTCACACATGTCCTGCTTTGATGGTATTTGGACCTACATACTATTTCTCCAGGCTCCACAAATGAAAATGAACCCTCCATGTCTATGTATTTGGTTACGCATATCATCACACACATAGCAAACGTCTGCATATAAACACTTAGAGGAGAATTATAACTATGTGATACATTGACATCGGGTTGTATTCAACATTCGCAGGATGGAATCAAACGATCTACCCCTTCGCATCTTTGCTGATCAGCAGGAGCCGGTGGGGGAGAGAGTGAACTCATACTTCAAGCTTGAAACCTTAGGTGTCATTCTCAAAGCACTTACACCGGACGAATTAAACGTGATCCGCCCTCGGTTTGGGAAGTTGTTAGACCTGTACCACAAAACCGCTCACTCGGGGAAACTTGCCCATTTTCTCCTAACGAGGCAGCTGATGACCGAGAAACGACACGAGCTCTGGTTCGTATTTGGGGGTAAGCCGATCAAATTCTCTCTTCGGGAGTTTGCGATTGTAACGGGGTTGAACTGCGACACCATTACCCCTCCATCTCGCGATATCAGTCAATGTAAACCCGGTCAAGTCCCTTACTGGTTCACCCTTTTTGGGGGCAACGAAAACGTCACGGGAGAGAAGTTAGAGGTCATGCTCAGGCGCTCTAAGAACCTCTCTACCGAGCTGAAGGTAAAATACGCATGCCTTCTCCTTGTTGATGGATTGTTATGCCGCAAATCGGCAGGCATGAAGATCCCGAAAGAACATGTGGAGATGATCCGAGACCTTGATTACTTCCTGGACTTCCCATGGGGGCGTCATTGCTTTGACATGACAGTTCAGTGCATAAAATCCCGGACAATCCATCAGCTAGCACAGCCCACCGTAGCTGTTCAAGGTTTCATACACGCGGTCCAGCTAGTGTTGCTTGATGCGGTTCCCGCAGCACTGGAAACTCTGGTAGAAGAAGGTGATTCTGACTTCGAAGACGACGAGTGTTTGGTAGCTAGCACCCTAAAACTCGATAAACTATGGGCTCTCGACTCGTCTGGACAGGTAACGCCTTCACATCCCTGCGTGAACCTCTATATTAAGTTGTAGATATCTATCATGCTATCATCAGAGTCATTTATGTAGATTGCTATATTTCAGCGTCATGCTCTATAATTAAGTATGTGGGGGTATTATTTTAGGTATCGGTCATTCCAATAATCCCAGGTGAGGTCGATGGTAACTCGGAAGTCGACCTGTCATGGCCCGACGAAGCTGAAGATCCGAAGGTGGATTACATGGAGATGCTGATCGCAGAGGGTGCAGAGTTTTGCAGGGAGTCCTTCCTTGGAGGCCTGTTAGCCGAAGCGCCACCCCCGAAGTCAAAAACGCAAATCCGAAAACGCAAAGCGAAACCTGCCGTGAAGGAAAGGTCTGTTGCCAGTTCTTCTCGGGCCAAAAAAACAAAAGGAATGTGGGAAATCACCTATTGCCGCTGACAAAGACGATCGCCCTCCCAGTACGATGGACGTCATTTCAGAGCAGATTGAAGCTGTGTGAAGAGGGCCCAAGCCGCGATGGTTGAGTCGATGGCCTCGTCAATGCTCGCTATGGAGACTAGAATGGAGAGGAGATTTAATGAAAGAATCGACAAGCTACTGCTTAACCAGTCCCAATCAGCCAAGGCCGACCAAATTGTTGGAGAAATTATCAGAGACCTGAACGATGGAACACAACAGTCACCCCCCGTCGTTGTATCTACGAAACACACGGAGATGCGCTTGATTGATGAACAACTCCAGGGCGACAGAGACGCACAAACCACGAAGGAATTGGCTCACGCAAGGACAGCTCCACACACAGATGCGCTTGATGTTGTAGCAGAAGGAAACCCCCGTAACAATTTAAACTGCACGGTAGCAGAAGAGAAGGCCGGGTCTTCGCCGGTTGCACCCATCTTGGAGGGCGTGCCGGAAAACCTTAAGTTCCATGTACTAACAATAAACGCTTCTCCGGGAAGGTACATTCTTTTTCACCCATTAAGTACTGAATATAAATATTAATAATTTCAAGTAGATCGCTATATAATTATATAGGTACATATTCGTATATGGCGCCGTAAATGTATATAACAGCATATCTGTAATATTTATGGCTCCAACTTTTCTGCAGGGTACTAGAAATGGGGGAGGGACTGTCTATCAGGCTGCAAGACTTACTCGATTTACCTAAGTCCATACCGCCTTCCCGGCCCGAGGTACAGAACCACCGGCACTCCACTTCTATCTATTACTCTTAGTAAAAACCTTATTAACCACCCCTGTTGGTTGTTGGCAGGTGATGGATGCTTGCACAATGATGCTGCGGAAATCCTGGCTCGCCTGTATCACACCCAACGAAGATAACAGGGCTGACATTCTACCAAGCAGCTGGGCGGTCTCCATGGCTAAACACTTCCCCAAATTCAGCCGATCGAAACGGAGGGAGACATTTGATTTTGGGCAACCCATCATGGATATTGTATGCGGAAGACCCAAAATATGGATCAGAGACATCGACTTCGTTTACTTTCCATTTTGTGTAGACAAGAACAGATGGGTGGCGGTTATGATAGATATACTGTCCTCCAGAATGACTGTGTTTGATTCATCTGCCGCAGAGAGGCGTGGAGCGCGCATCGTGCCGGAGCTGCAGTACATCTGCCAGATGTTTCCGTACCTCGTCCGCAAAGCCACAGGTGGAGAGGGAGTGGTTGATTACGGGCTCCAACCCCTGCAGATTAGGAGGGACACAACGGTTGTTCAAGCCAAGGAAAGGAAAACTACGGGGATGCTCACACTCATCATCATAGAGGCGCATGCTGCCGGCGGTCTGTCTCAGGCATACCAAGTACACGAAGGAATGATCGGTGAGCGCGCCAAGGAACTTGCCGTGTTGATGGCAGAATATTGCGTTGGTGTTGTCGGCACTCCTTAGTTCGATGGGTAATGGGAATATTCTGGATGTCTGTTTAAATCAAAACTCGGTGATTCGTAAGCGTTTTAAATCTTCTTGTCTTAGGCGATTGTATTTGTACGGTCCTGTGATGTCGGTGTGTTTTTTGTGGACAAAACTAATTAACTCCAGTCCTAAAGTCCAAAAGATGCGGTTGATGTTAGCTGGCGACAAAATTAGAGTTTGCTTATCCAATACTGACATCCCTACTACAATGGTTAGAGCTAATGCGATGCGAAGTTTTAAATATGATATGACGTTATATTAGTAGATAAATAATCGGTTAACACTCATGGACAGCTATATACTGACATTGGGATCTATAACGACGCTAATAGTTACGTTATGCGTCTCGTTTTTTCATGTTATGGTCCGTTTCTCTCGATATTTTGTTCGTATAAAACTTATTTATTGGAAAAAAACTCTTACACTCACCCGGTTCATGATTATTACAAACTAAGTTGGCGATTAATTGGTTTTAGTTGACACACTATTTATATAAAGTCTATAAACACGTATATTATATTGTAACTCATTATATCATTTAATAGAGCCGCCCACTCACTTATGTAGCTTATTTAAAATGATTAGACGAAAGCATTTATCTTAGGTATTTCACATTAAACGGCGCCCCAAAGGTACGCCCGACATACATAGATTGCCTTCTTAGGGGCTGATGTTCAGTTATTTTACAAAGACAACAACTATAACTACCATGAACTGTAGCATACTGAGAAACATCCTCCGGCGATGCATTGCAGCATCCGTGGTTGTGGCGGTGGATTCAGTACAAGCGATAAAAAAGCCACTTATTTTCCGAGCACCCTACCCAAACTTGAAGCCGCGGAGCCATCATCGTACATGGGAAAATTGGAAGCTCAATTACCATATAACGCAGAGGAATATCATATGGGCAACTTGCAGGAGGCGCGGTTATGCCCAGTCCCATTGCAACGGCTGCACTTGCGGAAAATCTTCCTCCCCGGTCGCTATATGTGTACGTGTTAATTAGAGTTAGTAGTAGACGGACATATGAAAATATACGTCGATATATATATATATAGCACTACACTAGATACCTTATACTCTCCTGTTGAGAGGTATCTACTACGCTTTGGCCTACCTCGTGGCCTCCTCGTCTTTGGTGGATGGACTTTTATCGCAGCAACATCGGGGGGGACCGCATACACACTGTCCAATGCAGGCACGGGTTTATGCTTTCATGATAGGCGAGATGCTAGTAAAACGTTCCATACTCTGCAGCCACAATCGTGGGGATATGAACACCACCCTTACTCGCCGCCGCAACAGCATGACAGCACGGTATCTTTAAATGGCTAAATTCCTCACACGTGCACGTTTTGTGGTGGAAGTCCACATGGTAAGATAACCCGGTACGTGTTTTTACTTCATAGTGGTCTTTGTTGATTTGTAAGACGTTCCAAGCCGTGGACCGCTCGTAGTTATTATGAATGAGATCTCCAACTTTCGGTGTCATCGGTGAAGTATGGTTCGCCGCCACATCTCTCCTCTTGCTAAACCAAGACATTAGTGTACCACGGATGAATTCTAGCATAGAAACAATTGGCAACTCCCGAGCTTCTTTTAGCGCGGCGTTAAGAAACTCTGCTACGTTACTCGTCATGACGTTGTACCGTTCACCATCACAATGAGACCTCGTCCAGTGGTGGAAACCTATGGTATTCAAGTACTCAGCACACTCCGGTGACATCCCTTCAATCTCTGCGAAGTACTCGTGAAACGTGGATCTCCGATAGGCACGAGCTGCTTTGGAAATCAGTCCCGCTAGAGCCTTGTTTTTAAATTTTGCCGCCACATTCCTCTGTAGATGCACGATGCAGGCTCCGTGTGTGGCCCTTGGGTACTCCTGAATTTTAAAGACACCGGGCACGTAACCCCACAGCAGTCAGAATGCAACGTGACCGAAACACTCGCGAATAATAACCATCCACAAGAAAATATAGGTAGTTATATTGTTATATACCTTATACAGCCCCGCATAGATTGACGAATACCGATCGGAAACAAAGACCAACGAATCGTCATCAGTCACGATATGCTTCAACTTCTGGAAAAACCATTCCCACGCTTTATCATTTTCTCCATCCACGACTGCAAACGCCAAAGGGTAGATTTGAAAGTTACCATCTTGTGCACTCACCGTCAACAAGCACCCTGTGTACTTGCCTCTAAGGTGAGTTCCATAGACAATAAGCACCTTGCGCATGAACTGCAAACCACGGACACTACCACCCAGCGCCACGAAGCAGTATTTGAACCGCTTGTTCCCGGAATCATCTTCTTCTGTTTCAATGACCGTTACAGACCCCGGATTGCTGAGCTGAAGCAAATGCATGTACGCAGGTAAGAGGCTGTAGCTACCAGCTGCAGAGCCATTTGCCCTATCCATAGCCATCTCCCTAGATCTCCAGGGTTTCCAATAAGAAATGCTAACATGATGGTGCTCCAGCATAACCCGTACGACGGCTGATGGGTTTGGACCTCGCTGCTCCCCCACATAACGCTCTCTCATCAGCTCAGAAATGACAGAAGTTATGGCTTGCCGGTGAAACTGCCTACGCACATCGACCGGACAATTGTGATCCAGGGTTGCTGTTCGAATTTGAAAGTACTGGGTATCTTCAATACGAACAACGTATACCCTCCACGGACAGGTATCGGAGAGGCATCGCACCACCACGTAGTCATTGTTGGACCTCTCATTACGGTAACTGAACCTCCTATTTATGGTGTGGACAGCTATCTTAACTTTGCAGTCTCGTTTGTCTTTGAATACACGGCCCAAATACAGCTCGTCCCCCTCGTATGCCACATCCAATATGACATTTTCAGTCCGGTCCAATCCTGTCAATTGAAGTTCACCAAACAATTTAAATCTTCATCATTTATTATAACGGGTCATTTTAATTTGCTTAAACGACCAGGCATCATGGGCGACCACAATTGTATATGACTATCTATTTAGATTTATAGACAGCTATATGATATAATAATGTCTTATATATGTACGAGATTTTATCAACAGTAGCAGCCTAAATAACACATAACATGTTATACGTATCTTACATATACTCAGATAACAATGCATTATTCTTCATGTACCATTATAAAATCTTCACAACATCATAGATCGAGGACATTATGTACCTTCATCGTCCGAGTCATCTAGCATTGGGGCTGCATCCCTTGCAAACGAGAACGGGGGTATCCCATCAGGTGGCAACCCACCCATCTGGTCGTCGGAAGCATCCTGGGGGTCACCATTACCTGCAATGCCCTCAGCACCGCATTCTACAACCACAATAAATGCTCCATCGATTAAGGCCAAATGGAGGAAAAAATCAGGTACATATCTGGGTATGACCATTTATTACACCCTTTTCTATTCACAATTTCCTTTTATAAGTCGATAAAAAGTCAATGGACGCATATACACGTGCAGACCATAAATTTCACCTGT